ATCCTATTATTTGATTTTGCATCCGTTAAGTTCAAACAATTAAATAAAGAATTTCTTAGTAATTGAAGACAAATCCTTGTGAGATGATAATGTTGGAAACTTATTTTAGAATTCTATATTACTTTTTGACGGTACACTTGCCCATCGAACATAAAGCATCCAATTTGGACAATACCCTTCTCTTTATCTTCTCCATATCCACTCATATAAGGTAAGTATGAGATCCTATTCCAAACAACTACCCTTCTAAATGATTAATTCTTAGTTCTAAGAAAAAGTCTCCATATTTAAACAAGCAAATAATGATCTTGCACTAACCACAAACCCTTAAATAATGTTATACTATAGTTTGTCATGTTAAAAAAAAAAAACTTATTATTCAAGCCTAGCCACTAACCTCCCCACCCCCCAATAGATTTTTTTTTTTTTTAATCTTTTGTTCTAAAAATTTCAAACTCACTTTTCCCTAATAAATTAACTATTAATGTTTATTTTCAAGGAGTACACCAAGATTTGCAGTTATCTAAGGATATTTCTAAATCAGGACACATCAAAATAATATTATCAACATCAACATTAAATTCATCTTCCTTAATAGGTATATTAAACCCCTCTATCGAAGAAGAAATTATTTCTTTATGATTTAAACATAAATTCATGTTACATGATACCAGAAGACCATCTTTATAAGACGTAGCTTTAGTATTACAACTAATATTACAGGAAGATTGTGAATTATGGTCATTCTCTATCTCTTTATCACTTTCTTTCATTTTCTTCACCTTCTTTATACTTTGATTAACTAAATCTTCCTCCACCAACATGTTTCTTCCTATGTCTTCCATCATTGTTCTTCCTAACTCACTTAGAATCAAGATTTCTCAAGGAAAATCTTCCTTCATGCATGCTGCCTAACACAAGTCTTATAAGGAACGAGGATGAACCTCGGTTGTGCAACCTAAGATGGGCATTCAAAAAGAACCTTAAGAGCACCTCCAAGTCGTAAGAGAGAAAACTCTAAAAGCACCTCCATAATTAGATTAGTAGATTATCTTATTAGTGGTAAAATGAACTATGACTTTAGGGAGTATCAATGTTTTGTATATTTTAACTTTAATATAAACTGTGAGGACGATAATATATGGACTATAGAAATAAATTTAAATTATGATGTTTCTTTTGAGTTCCCTGTAAATAGTCAGTCATACTCATTACATCCTTAGTTTTTATATCTACTGAGGAACAGTTAGGCTCTTAAAAGTTGTTGTAAATAATGTCTTTATTTTCCACGATCATGACTTTTTTGTGAGACCCAATCGGTATACATTTGAGAGATTTTTAAGTATAGAGGTTGTGGCGGATCTTGGTAATGCCTGCCTCAGAGAGAATGGAGAATTGACTATTAAGGATTTGGCTAAGATAGAAGGTTGACACAATATTGATGACTAAAACTGGGTCTTTAAGTGTATGGAGGTGGATAGGGACTTCTATTAGGACTTAGTTATTTTAGTTATGTAATTATTTATTCTAAGTCTTACAACTTTTTGATTAACAAGTTGTTAATTATTACACTGTTTATATGTAAATGGGACTTAATATCGTATATTCATTAACTATTTCAGTATAATATAATTTTTAAGTCACAATTTTCTTTTTTCTTTTTTTTACATTTTACTCCCTTGGTTAATTTTGTGAATGGATTTATCCGCAAGAAAGTTTTAATTTCTTCTCAATTTTATATTGTCTGTTTTAATTGAAATTTATTTTATGTCCTCTAAAAATAGTAATTTATAATGTATTTGAGAAGTCAAAATTTAGGGTGTTACACTTTATGCATTCTTTTTGAAATGTTGTCTTCTATGTATCCTCATTTTCTCCTTACTAGCCCTTCACATGCTACACACACTCACAAAAACAAAACTAGACCTATTTTCCTCAGAGAGACAAATTAAAATATTTTTAAAATTAATATATTAAACTTAACTAATAATTAGATAATTTAGAATAATTAACACTTAAATATAAAGCAACAAAATAAAAAAAACTTACAATAATTATATATGAAAGCTAAAATTAATGACGCTTCATATAATTAAATTCATCAATAATTGATTCTATACTAAAAGACTAACAATACCTTTTCAATGTAAATAACTAAACTATTTATAAGAAATTCATTTCATTTTGCTTCAAAGTCTTATTTTAAAGACTATAAATGTTAAATAAGACAAATCAACGTATCAATCAAGTGATAATTTTTTAAATTTCTCATATTTGTTAATTTATAATACAACTTTAAGAGTTTAATTATATTTTAAAATTTTAATAATAAAATATATCAATTATGTAATGTCTCAATTGTAATTTTAGATGAAGTCTATCTTACTCAATTATTAAAGTAATACTTTTTTTATCTTATAAATAAGTTTAGATTTTATAAAAAAATAATGTTGCTAAATATTTATGATTATATTTTATTTTAAGTTTTTTTAAAATGTAATGCTTTTCTTATTTTATAAATGGGCTTGGGCTTAATAAAAAAAATAATTCTTTACTTAAGTTTTAGTTAAGGTTTTTAAATATCTATGTTAATATAATGTGTTTCTTATCTTATAAATGGGCTTGAATTTAATAAATAAAATATTGTTTTTAAATATTTATGATTGTATTTTATTTAACTTTTAAAAAATAATAAAAAAAGCCATAAAAAATAAAAAAAAGATCAGAAAAAAATATATCTATATAAATAAATTTTTTAGTGGCCAACCCTCTCTCGTAGGTCAAGAGGTTTCCAATTTGCGCATTTTTATCTCCTTGGGCATAAGCCCTTTTTCCTAGTTCCTAGCATAGAACCATCAAAGTCACATGATAAATATAGAGCCACCAAACTCACATAACAAATGCAGAACCACTACCAGAGTTACATGACATACGCAAATTAATTTGATAAAGTCACACGACACATGCAAAACTATTAGAAGCAGCATCACATGGAACCACAAGTAGCAACAGAGCAGCAGCGCACAGAACCATATGCAATAGCAGAAAGCGTCTTAGAATACCATGAAAATAACATTTTAGAAGTCATATCCCTAAGACTCAATCATAAAAATCGTGACCCACAAAATGAGGCAACAACTGGTAATCTTTTCCCTTTTTACAAATACCTATGTTGCAGAGGTGCAAGGCAGAGCAAATTTAGTTCTCTTTTGCGTATGTAAAATTGTGTGTTCAAAAGTTCTTAAAGTTTTTCGCTTTAAAACCGTGTGTCCATATCCAACTTTTCTTGGTTAGGAAGGAAATGAAAGACAACAAAATAAAGAGCTTGCTTCCATCTTTTGGATAAAGAAATTCTAAGTTCTTTTCAATACATCTTTATTTCTCACACACTTTCATTATTTATTGTTCATATTTATTTCCTCTTATCTAGCAAAATATATGTCTTTTCTTGTAGTTATACATCAAAATGCCTCTGCATGCATTCTCGGATGTCAGTTGTGATAATTTATCTAACAATTAATATATCACAATGTTTGAATGTGTATTCTTCATCTAATATATTTACTTATTCAAATATGCACTGATTTTAATACATTTTTATTTTATTAATTATTTTTTATCTCATTTATTTTTATCATCTACACAAAACATAGCAGCAAATTTTTTATTTTATATTTTTAATTCATTTTTCTGCATATCTATATATTTGTTACCATATTTAATTTTTCGTTATTTTTTATCATAAAAAAAAGAAAAGAGGAGTAGTATTGATTTTCATATTAGTATTATTATTATAGCAATAGGACTTGGTCACATTAAAAATAAAAAATTGAATGAATGTATGCATGCATCTCAGAAGAATGGACCAACGAATTGTATTTTCCGCAAGTTGGGTAAAGCTGTCATGAACAGAGTGAAGGGACTCCGCGTCCACCCTCCACCCTTTCTTCTTATCTATCTATCAAATCAATTATATCTATTAATATAATATATTAAACTTAAACCATCACCTATCGTGTCCATGTGTGACTATTTTTATAAATTATAATTTTTCCACGTTAACCAAGCTATTTATGTATTATTTTCTTTATTTTAATATCTTTAAGTATTCGACATATAATTTTCTTAATGTTAAAAGATTTTTTTTCTAATAGATGGTGATACATAACATTTATCAATCTTATAATGTGAAATGAGTTGGGATAAAATTATTTTATTATTACGAGTCTCATATTCTTATATTTTTTGTGTCATTTAATTCTTCTATAAAAAGATAATATCAGAAAAAAGTATAAAAATAAAATATAAAAAATTAAAGTGTAATATAGTGATAATTTAATGTAACATAGTTACAAAAGTAAAAAAAAGCTGCCTGTAAACAGTTACACATGTCGATATTTTTTCACATCTGACATAGAATGGATTGTTTTACAAGTAAAAGACTTTTTATAATGATTTTATTTTATATTTTATTCATAGTCGTAAAATAATGTGTCAAACGCAAAAAAATTCATTTATAAAATGATGAAATAAATTTTATACTAAAGTGGCTTCCAACTTTCAATTAAGAACTTTCAACTCACAAGAAAACAAAAAGCTAAAGCAGCGAATTGAATCGGGGCATCACATTCACATCACTGTCACCTTCACCATCATCAACACCAACAAAGCAAACTGCTCCTCTACGCTCCGCCACCGATAATCTCGCCGCTTTCCCTTCTCTCTCTCTCTCTCTCTCTCTCTCTCTCTCAGATTCATCTCACTTCAAGGTTCACCATAATGCCCTTTTGCTCCAAATTTCAACTTGCCTGCTTAGTTTTGACTTCGATTTACAGTTTTTATTTTTCATTTGGGTGTCTTGTTTTTGTTTTTGGGTCGGTAGGAACATGTGGTGCAAGAAAATAACATGAACTTTTTTTTTGGGTGATTGGGTATTGTAGTGGACCAAAAAAATTGTAATTTGACCATATTCCTTGCTGCCCAAAAAAGTGATTTTGAACATGCACTATCAATTGTTGAATTGCACTGCCCTGGATAGGTATTCTGGCTTTTGATTCCGTTGTTCGTGTGTATGTGAGTGTTTTGTGTGTGGTTTTGAAGAAATCTAGAAGTTTTAAGTTGCACTTTCGAATTGTTCTGAACTGCTTGGAGAGCATGATTCATTTCTTTTTTTTACATTAGTTTGACTTAAATGCTGCTGGAACCTTGTTGCAAAATGAGGATCTTAGTGAGTGCTTGCTTCATGTTTTATGAAATTTTGTGACTGATTATTCCACTTTAGGGAAAGTTTAGGTTTGGTTGTCACTCTCAGTACTGCGGTTGTTCAGACAAGTTCTCTGTTTGAGGTTGGGTTAGTTAGGATTGACCTTTTCTTCTTTTTTTTCTTGATTCACACAAAACAATTGAGTCCTTAAATTATTTCTGTTTTGCTTATTTATTTATTTGTTTTGCGCTTCCAATTTAATGTTTCTGGAACACTTCTATACTCGAGTGTGTGTTGTTGAAGTTTTACTTCTGATCAGGTATTAACCATATGGCTGATGCTAAAGTTTGCTGATTGGTTTTCATTTATTTTGTCTTGACAGAAGTAGAAGTTGGCATCCCTTGTATTCTTTTGGTGAACAATAGTGCCATGCTTTTCATGTTTGGTAAAAATGAAGTCCTTGTTTGGAAAAACTTTTAGTCTTTAGTGTTTGGTGAAGTAGACATATAATACAGAAGCTTACGAGGTGAACGAATAGAATGGAAACTACAAGGCGGTGGTTTTGTAAGTTCAAGTCAAATGATAAAATGAAGTCTGAAAAAAACAAGGAAACTGCTGGCATGACCAAAGAAGGGTCAAAACCCCCAACAAATGAAGAAGCACCTTCAAATGTAACCAAACAGAAGGTTGAAGCTGCAAAGCAGTACATAGAAAATCATTATAAGAAGCAGATGCAAAGCCTGCAGGAGAGGAAGGAAAGGTATCTTTATTTTATATATTTTGGGTCATGATGACAATCCAATCTAATGTTCTTTAATAGTTTGGTACCAGATGAAGTAATAGTAACAGGCTTATTGTCATCTGTGATCTGAGCTGGTTGAAATAAGTGATTTCCTTCTTGCCCTTGCTTTTTTTGTTGCCAAACAAGTATTCTTCCACTATGGATTCTGGAATATAGTTTTGTATGACATTGTCTTTTATTGTCTCTGATGTGATATATTATGTGCAAATACCTAATGCAAATGGAATGTTTTAAGTCTTTAATTAGGCCTCAATTGATTGTTTTTGTAGACGTAATATGCTTGAAAAGAAGTTGGCTGATGCTGAAGTCTCTGAGGAAGAGCAAAACAACTTGCTCAAGTATTTGGAGAAAAAGGAGACGGAATACATGCGCCTTCAGAGACATAAGATGGGGGCTGATGACTTTGAGCCCCTAACTATGATTGGGAAGGGTGCATTTGGAGAGGTATCCTCTACCTTTATATGCATGCAAGTAAAACCATCTTTAAAGTTTTTCCAATATGTTTGATCTTAATGATTTTTATATCAACAGATCTTGGCAATAATGTTACTGTTTCCCCCAGTGACTAAAAGGACTTGAATGATATGTGTGTGGAGACTGGAGATGCTGATTAAAATCACAATTTCTTTCTATGAGTTTATAGCTTTCTCTGACATTCATATCATCCTTGTTCTTTTCTATTGGCATGGCTGTTCCGGATATTTAGAGGTGGACTGGAGTCCAAAGATTTCTAATTGTATCAAGTAAAATCATATTTGTTATTTTACTCTGGTGGTATGTATTCAACAGGTTTCTATTCGTATGTGAGAAAAATGTAGAGTTAGGATATTACTTAGGGTATGCTAGGGAGAAGTAGTTGCATTGCACTGGATCGTTACATTTCAAAATTACTAGTGGTAATGGAGTTTCACCATCAAGAACCTCTAATTTAAACCTTTGTTTTTGAACCCTTGTGGTTTAAATTATCTATTTTAACAATGAATTTTATGAATTTTTTTCACTGCAAAGAAACTCCAGTTTGTTATGCATATTAGCAGTTTCCATCATACTGTCACCTGTGCAGTTCTATGGGGAGTATATATATTGCATAGAGTCTTTGGCTGGTAATGATTTTTTCTAATTTCTCTTGCTGCAGAAATTACTCAGATTTCTGTCACATCTGTAACTTCAAATCTTTTTTGTTTCTCATAGGAAATTTATCACATGAATCATTACAATTTTTCAATTCCATCTTTGTATAGGTTAGAATATGCCGGGAGAAGGCAACTGGTCATGTATATGCTATGAAGAAGCTTAAGAAATCAGAGATGCTTCGTAGAGGCCAGGTATTGAAAATTTGCAATTATCACATGATTGGAGTATTGTTTTCTTATTCTTACTGGAGACTATTTTGTTAGGTTGAGCATGTCAAAGCTGAGAGAAACTTACTTGCTGAAGTAGACAGCAATTGCATTGTAAAACTTTATTGTTCCTTTCAAGATGAAGAGTATTTATATCTCATAATGGAGTATTTACCTGGTGGAGATATGATGACGTTGCTCATGCGGAAGGATATACTGACAGAAGATGAGGCCAGGTTCTATGTTGGAGAGACTGTCTTAGCCATAGAGTCAATTCATAAACATAATTATATTCATAGGTAAACTCAAAGATGAAACAATAACATCAAATGATCAAATCTTTTAGTATACTTCTATGACATTGACATGGATCAATGACACTTGCAGTGGTCTACTTTTGGATCAATAAAATATGTGATATTCTGATTTTTAAATTCATTCCAGAGATATCAAGCCTGACAACTTGCTGCTAGATAAAAATGGTCACATGAAATTATCAGATTTTGGATTATGTAAACCGCTAGACTGCAGTAATCTTCAAGAAAAGGACTTCTCTGTCGGAATTAACAGAAGTGGAGCCCTCCAAAGTGATGGACGTCCTGCTGCTCCTAAACGAACACAACAAGAACAACTGCAGCATTGGCAGAAAAATCGACGAATGCTTGTAAGCCACTCAATATTAGTATTCTTAAACATACAGGACTATTTTATCCCTTGTTAATTTTCAGTTCCCCCCCCCCCCCCCCTCCCCCTTCTTAGGATAAAATAAACAATTAGTCCTTAATTCCTTACAGTGTCATCTGATTTAGATTTTGATTGCTATGTTTTATTTTTGGGACTAAATATACATGTTGGTCCTCGAAAGATTTTTCTTGTGTTGCTTTGGTCCTTGAAAGTTACTGTTTATGCAAATTAGTTCTGCAACTCAGCCACTGCTCTGTGCTGCTAATGCCATCCTCTTGTTGGGCTACCCAAAGATGTTTAGTCCTGTTGGGCCACCTGTGCAAAATGTTAAGAAACTTGAGCCTAACTCACTCCTAAAAGCTAGTTCTATTAGGCCTAGCCCTTGTAAGAAATATTCTGACTCTGTTCCCAACTAATGTGGGATGTCTTAACACACAATATTGACCACTAAGGAGAGAATAGGGAGAAAAGAGACACTAAATAATATTTACTTGTATACTATGATGTACTACAATAAGATGCAATGTGATAATAAAACTTAAAGAACTCATCGTTGTTTATACCAATAATTCTAACTAAAGAAGGAAACAAATCATGAGATATTAGGAAATATGGAAACTATAATAGGAAAACTAGTCCTGAAAGCTAACCTCTAAGATATCCTAAAATATGCTAGGATAAATCTATATATTTTTGGATACTTTACATAATTATAAGATATAATATTGATATCATGAGATATTTCAACAATACCATATACCATTTTCAATTTTGTTATTCAATGTCTGTTCTCTTTTTCTGCCGACCTCACTTAATGGGATAAAACTTGGCTGTTGTTATTGTTGTTATATTTTCTCTCCTATACCTTGAACCACCATATGTTTTCAACATGGTATTAAATCAGTGACATCCTTGTTATATCTTGCTATTGTGTTCCCTAAAATCTGGAACTCAAACTTTATCTCCATGCTTTTTTCCATCCCTTTGACTAGTCAAATTCTGACCACCAAAACCCCTGACTTTCTTCCTTCTAATTTGCCACCTTTCTTGCCGCGTTCTCCTTTTAGCCCTTCATTTCTCTACTATACCTGTTTGTGTGAATTCTCTATTGTCATTGTGTCTTTGAACCTGCCACCAGCTCCAGCATGTTCAGAGCAACCAGTGCTTGCAATCACACCACTGTCAGAGCCTATTTTTTGCAGCTAGCATCTATCGGCTTCATGTTCAATGATGTTTCTGGCTGCCATCGCCACCATTTGATTGCTGTCAGGCTCTCTACCCAGATTTGTCCTTATTGGGTCCAATTATGACTAGGTTGTTGAATACCTTTGCTCAATAGCATTCAGGTATATTGTGATTTGGGTTTTTGGACTTTTTATTCTGAACCATGGTTGCTTTGAGTCACACAATGTTCTGAATACTGAAACCCATGTTTCACCCTTACACGTTGTTTGGATGTGAAGTGAAATAGAAAGGAAAGAAATAAAATGGAGAAAGAAAAAGGAGGGTGAGAAATAGAGTGGAAAAAATGTATTGTTTGGATGGGTGAAAATAGAAATGAAAATAATTCTCTTCCCTTGTTTGGATGAGTAAAAAGGAGGATAAAAAGAAATGAGTAGATTATATAAAAAATAGTCATAAAAAATCTAAAACAATTCAAAAAATGTAATTTTTATTATCATATATTTTCTTAATAACTTTTTTAATTTTTTTTTTCATATCATGTAAATGATTTTGATTATTTAATCTATAAGGGGGTGGGGCCCACAAAAGAACTCCCCTCAACCAAAGAAAGAAACTCACTACCCTCCTTATTACCATTCCATCCAAACACAGTTTTGTTTGTAAGTTATACCAATGGTCCTTCCAACAGTGCATTGATGATCATACCAATGGTGACTTTTCTTCCATTTAAGTTAATTCCTGTGACTTGTATTTTCACCAACAAGTTGTATAGTTATGAATTGATTGTGATTCATGTCAGCCTCTCCTTATGAATCATACCAAGGAATACTTTCCCTATCTCACTAATAAGTCATGCCAGTGATGAAGTCTCCATGACTGTAATACTAACCAGCCTAAGTTTCAATAACAAAGTTTTGGGTCACCAGCTTTGTTCTACCATTGGAATCTTCAAATATTGTTTGGAGAAGTTTGGGCCTTGCTATACATGATTGCTTGCCAAGAAATTTTGACAGGCTGATGATTGTTCCAGGCATCTTCTTAAGTTATCTTTTACCAATACTCTTTTCTCTAACATTTCTAACATCCTTAAGTTGTTTTTCAAACCAGGTTTTATGGAGCCCACTTTATTTTTTTGTTACTTTTCTTTTTAAAGTGTTTATTTATAACCTTAAAGCTTATCTTTATCTTGAGGGGGCTATTAGAATGTCTATAAAATATCTCAAGAGGGAGAGAATAATGCATAATAGATTTGGATAAATGATTGCGTTACCTTGTCTTATAGATCTTATCTTAGCAACCTTATCTTATTCTAGTGATTTTATCTTCCATAGTTATTTGTATGCTTATTTGATTAGGATTAGGAGTGTAGCACTTAATATAAGCCCCAGTATAAATAAGGGTTAGTGCCTTGTCTTCCAGAACCCTTTATTCATACCGTATATATCAGTCTACTCTTTTGTTATTAGGAGTCTCTTTTCGGTCTTTTCTTCCTTCTCTACCTTACCTCCTTTATTTCAACTTATAAATTTGATGACCACTGGTTTTTTCCTTAGTGTTAGTAAGTTTTCTTTTGCCTTGTGATTGTATGGTGACTATTATAGATTGATGTAATTTTAAGCTTTTCTTTCTTTGCAATACTACAGGCCTATTCTACAGTTGGAACTCCTGATTATATTGCTCCAGAAGTTCTGCTGAAGAAAGGATATGGCGTGGAATGTGATTGGTATTCTAGAATATGTTTTCTACTTTTTCATTTCAAACTCCCTAAGACTACCCTAGTTTTATATACTTATTATTGATTCAAATTCAATGTATTCTGATATTGTTTCAATTCTTCCAGGTGGTCTCTCGGAGCTATCATGTATGAAATGCTTGTGGGGTATCCACCCTTTTATTCAGATGATCCAATGACGACTTGTAGAAAGGTAACATCTGGACCAACTGCTAATGTATTCCATTCCAATGCATCATGCATTTGTATGGGTTGCAAGTATGTTGTGTAGGACAGTGAGTCCATTGACCTCTGCAAGGCTCCTGTCCTTAGAAAAAGGCCTTCTTGCTATATTGGACTTAAGTACATTTAGAAATTACTGATATTTCTTGACAAAACATGACCATAGCTGAGAATGTAGCTCTGGTTTGAATGGAAATTTGTGGTTGCATCTTTTTTTGATAAAAAGTAATCTAACAGACTGCATAGGGTTCAGAAAGGCTTTGAACTATTGAATTTGCTAGTAGGCTGCAATTTTTTATTATTGATTTATGAGGAATAAGTTTCAGGAAAAAAAAATGAGATGGTTTCCTGATGTAGAGAATATTTTCGCTTTTCTTATGCTACTATATGCTTTTCTTCCTTTGTGTAATTGTTTCATGTAAATTATTTTTGTATTTCATATGCTTCTGTAGCCAGTTTTGGCATTTTATAGTAAGAGATGACATTTCATAGATATCCATTATTTGTAATGTGTCCATATTGATTGCTTCCGTGGCTTCCTTTTTTATTCTATCATCTTTTATCTTTGTCAATTATGATCTCTTTTATTTCACCTTCATTATGCAGATAGTAAATTGGAGAACATTTTTAAAATTTCCAGAAGAAGTTAAACTATCAGCAGAGGCTAAGGATCTTATTTGTAGACTCCTATGTAATGTGGAGCAGAGGCTTGGAACCAAAGGAGCTGATGAAATAAAGGTGTTGTGGTGTGTTCTTTTCTAAATTCTACAATTTACTTAGGGATACAGTTGCACAGTAACCTATAAGTGGTTTGCATCTTGTGTCCAGGCTCACCCATGGTTCATAGGTATTGAATGGGACAAATTGTACCAAATGAAAGCTGCTTTCATACCTGAGGTCAATGATGAATTAGATACTCAAAATTTTGAGAAGTTTGAAGAGGTATAATACATATCTTTATGTTCATGGGTATTGAAGAGTTAGTTAATTTTCATTGTGAACTAGTGATATGCTCTTTTGTTATACTAATGATGTGTAGGTGGACAAGCAAACCGCACCTTCCTCAAAGGCAGGGCCGTGGAGAAAGGTTGGTTCTTGTTATTTAAATTTTGTATCTAGTTGGTCTACAGGAGTTGCTGTAATTGTACCATTTGTTAAAATCACTGCTGTAGATCAGGCTATTAGTTTTGTTATTTACTGTTGTTTCTAATTTCACAATTACTATTTTTCATCTGGTATTATTTATAGTCATTTTTTATTTAGGGATCTTATTCTGTTTAGGATTATCTTATTCCAGCTTTCAATAAGAATAGCTTACTTAAGGTGTTTGGCTATGTTGGGTCCATGAATAGACTTTCAGGATAACATTTGAGAAGCTTTTGATTGATATATGATATTGAATTTCCTTCCTTCAGTGTGTACATATTTGAGTCAGAGGAGCTCTCTAGGAGTACTCTAGGTTTATCAGGGAGTACCCTGCCAAGAGGACTACTCTTGGGTTGTCCTACATCAATCAAAGGCAGACTTTTATGATGTGGGCTCTCCATTAGGCCATTTCTTCTTCTATGAAGCTTAGATGATACGTAATCAGTGTATTGGGTTATTTATCACAAGTAAAGCTGCTCTCATATGTTCCTCTCTGTACTCGTGTTTTATGTCTACCTATCCAGTAATCTATCTATTACAATTCTCCCATTGGTTTCTCTTGTGATGAGACAGAAATTCTTGGCCATTGAACTTGTGATGTAACTGAGACAATAAGGTGCTTTGAATTGGTTTGGGTGATTTCCAGTAGGTTGATTTGTCGTCTTTGGAATGATGGAATCTGTTATTATGCTTGTATTAGATTGTGAACAAAAGCATTTGGTTTGCAAATGAATTTTACCTTGGATGACACTGGAATTTGACACAAGTTTTGTTAACTGTAACTCTAAATACAATTGCCCCATGATTTTAAATCATGGACCATCAGCATTTATAAGGAACAATTATTGTTATGGTTTGCTGAAGTCTGGGTTTCTTATGTAGTCGTGTCTTTTGCTGCAGATGTTGCCGTCAAAAGATATTAACTTCGTTGGTTACACATACAAGAATTTTGAAATCGTGAATGATCATGAAATACCTGGAATTGGTATTTACATCTTTCATCTCTCTCTCTCTCTCTCTCTCTCACACACACACACACACACACACACACACACAATAATATATATATATATATTATCAGTTTATATCTCAACGGATTAACTCTGTTGAGATATTTATTGTCATGCAATAAAAAAAATCTTTCGCCTTGCTACTAATTTTATAGTTTCCTTAAGCTTATTTGAGCCCACTTTTACTAAGCCCTTTAATTTAACATGTCTTGGAAAAAAATGGCAGAGATTTCTTTCTAAAGGTTGTGTTATTCTTCGGTTATATACAATTGCTTATATGAGAATCAAATATTAATAACTAATTTTGGGTGCTGATGCATTGAGTAATTTTAATTTCAACATACTGTAATTTTGCTGAAGATCATGCTGGTGAAACTGGCTAACCCAAAAGAGAGCATTTATTTTTTCCTTGTATTTTATATTTTCATTTTGATAACTGTCTATAATTGATTAGACTACTCTTCACAAGTAATTTTAATTGTGTACTTCATCAGCTGAATTGAAGAAGAAGAGCACAAAACCTAAAAGGCCGTCTATTAAGTCCCTATTTGGTAAGAATATCGTATTGTTTTCCTATTCTTTTTGAGATATTTGTTTTTCTATTTATCCAATTGAAGTATTGTTTAACATGTTTTAGATGCAATGGTTCACTTCACTAAAGGGTAGTATAGTGGTACCAACTGATTCTGTTCTATTTCTTGAACTCCACATACTTATTGTCTACTTTGCATTACATGGTAGCTACTTTCTGACATTTTAGAAGGTTATATATATATATTTTATGTTGTCTTAAAATGGAAATAGATAAAGAGCAAAAAAAAAAAGAAAAAATAAAGCTTGAGCATTTGACATCTAACAAAATTTTCCTTTCTCTCCTTTTCCGTCCCAAATCCCAATTTCTGTGGTTTCTATGATATATGGATAGAAAATCCCAATATGGCCATTCATAATTATTTTAATTATGTACATAACGTCCCTTTGATAGTTGGAGTGATGTTTTTGTAAATGAGAGTGAATAATGACAGCTGTTTAGTCAATTAGTCCACTTGTTAGTTATTGGACTAGTTAGTTAGAAGAGATTGGTTATAAATAGGAGAAATCAGATTGGGGGAGGAATTCTGTGAATTGGATGGATTGTGCAAGTGAAAGGAGAGATCCTTTGTTAAGGGGATTCTCCATTTTCTGTTCTGTTCTTCAGGAAAGCTCTGTTCTTTTCTTTCTTTTTTTTCTCTATAGTTCCCATCTTATTTTCTTTGGGTTTCTATATTTGGTCTGATCTGGTGGATCCAAATTTGGGGAGAAAGAAGATGGAGCAACGAATTGATGCATTGGAAAAGGTGTCCAATGTGCATATCGTCCACCTTTAATCTTTGGAGTTGCAGGTCTCAGAAATAAAGATGATAGCGAAGGACTAGGCTGGAGTTAAAAAGTGATTAAGAAGGTGGAACCTGTTGAAGAGCACAATGATGATTCAGAGTCTTATGACGAGGGATCTCCTTGGAGGTGCAAAACAGAGCACAAAAAATATTTGGGAGTTTTTTAATAGGTTCCTATATTTTAAAAGTTAATAATTAGGTCTTTGAACCAATAAATCATTTTTAATTTGAAAAAAATTTAAAAAATATGGATATTAATTATAGCTTTTAAGCTGTGTGATGTTAGGATCCAATTAAAGGTATGGGATTTGAGTTCCAATTTGGAAATACTGGATTCTAGTATGGGGTTTATAAGACCTTAAGCTCCAATTACAATAGCTAGCTTTTGTGGTGTGGTTTTTCAACTGTTTTTATCAGTGCTATTACTTTAAACAACTTCTGAACAGGAATTGACTGAGTGATTCATAATCTTTTTTCCCCATATTCACAACCTTTAAAGACTCTGATGAAAATTCAAGTTATGAGTTAACTTAGATGGCAGTTGGCATCTGAATTTTCCTTAGCCTTTCGTCGTATAGCCAATTTAGAAGATAAGGAGGCACAGAGTAATTTGTTAGTAGAAAGGGAAAGACGAGATACTGCATTGAGTTGATGTGCTGGAGAAAAGTACAAATATTTTGTTCCCATGTAGGTTCCACAGAAAATAAAAAAACCATACGACACAGTGGATTTTCTTTTGGGGGGTGGGTTGTTAAGGAAGTAGAGACTCAGTCCGAAAATGATAAGAAAATTAGCAAAGCCTCAAAATAGAGAAAACTAGAAGTAGCCAACTCCTGTGTCCCATTACCATACAATCTAACTTTTGTTCTTAATTCATATGTTGTTTCAATGATTAGATTTTTCCTCAGTGAGGATATCCCTTGTTAGCATTTGGGGACTCACTAATTGTTGGATGCTAAAGATCCCACTTTCAATATCGTCTGCTATACGAATGGATGCCAAGTGTGTATTGCTTATCCGTGGCCCTGTACTGATCAGATAGACCTCAGTGTTATCTATAGTTCATGGTTTTATATCGATAGACATTACCTAAGTCTTTATTTATCCCCCTAAATTTCCCTGCAACGAAAATAGAGAAACAATTATTAGGAAAATATTTCTAATTGATATGCTTTATTTTGTCAGACTTGATCTTATTAAGTGCATATAAGTAGTATAGCATTAATAGCCTTTTAAAATGCGTTTATAAAAATTGCTAATCATGCACTTGTATCCTGCTTTTTGAAACTGCCGTATCCCCAGTATTATTATTACTCATGATAATATCCTCATACAAAGTCGCCATTACCTTTTGGCACCATAGGCTATTGAACAAGCTCAAGATGTTATGGCTTAGGTTTATGTATCTTCTGGTTTAGGTAGTCCCATTCTTTAATGAATTATATTATTGTATGACACAGATGATGAATCAGCTATGGCTGCCAATCAACCTGTCAGAGGGAGCTTCTTAAACCTCTTACCTCCTCAAACGGAAGTTCCTGAAAAAAGTGAATCACAATGATCTACTCTAATAGTTTACAGGACTTCTTGATGGCCATGGACATGATCAAATGTTGATGACTACTGATTGTTTTGATCTTTCTCACATTCTTTTTGTTAGATTTGAAGCCAGGGCCCTGAAATTTCTGGTTTTGGTTGGCTGACTGGGATATTATCTGTGTAGAAAAATCTTTAAAGGTGTACATTCTTTAATTCACCTTTTATCAAGCTGCAATGTGTTAAATATGATAGTTATTTCCTGTAATTAAGTTACTGATGAAGTTGAAGCACTGATAAGGATGTGCAATTCACACATTTTGTACTATACATAGAGATTGATTTGTCTGTAGGCTAACATTCTGTTATTTAACATCAGGGTCCAAACTTAACAACTGAAATCGTGCCTTCACATTCTAGTCTTTTTTCTGTATCTTTATTTAATGACATTCATAATAGAAGTTTAAAAAGTTGCAGAGTATTGGGCCTTATATTTGACAAAATCTCCAGATTTTTATGATTGGTCCTAGTTATGTACACAATTCCTGCATATATACCTAATGTCACTTTTGGCAGCTGTATGTCTATTGTCTAATGTCTAAAGATTGTACTTTATTTGGTTAAATTTCCCTTTCTCATTTGTCTTTGAAACCAAAAGCCATAGATTTAGAAAATTCAAAAAATAAAAAATCAAGATCTTCATTTGTTATTATACAAAAAAAATAAAACAAATTCTAAACATGGGTTATGCAAAAATTTTGTCGTCTCTTATTTTATGATTTCAAAAATTGGACAGGATGCCAAGAGGTGAGTGGCTCACAAAACTGGATGATTCAATAATGGGTTAAGTCGGCTAAATATATATGAATCAAGAAAAAGGGTAAATGTTTGATTGTTTAATGGTTCAGATTCGGTTCTTAATGTGATTCGAGATTGTATCTTTTTAATTTAAAAGGAATCTGAGCACTTGAGTTTTCAGTTTGATGAAGTGCTATGACAGAAGTCTCGAAGGCATGAAGGATAACCTCGTTGTTCAGAATTTATGGTGATGCTTTTGTTGTCTCTGCCTTGTAGTTAAGGATGGAAACAAGTGAAGTTAAGTTAAGCTTTACTCTAAACAGGCTTGACTTGTAACATAATTATTAGATTTGAGTCTGATTTCTTACCTATTAAAAGACTTTATTTTAAGTCTGACATGACCTATTTAAGTGGCTTGATCTGATCTTAAGCTTATTAACAAAGACTGTTACAAAAAAAAATTTAATATTAATAAAAATGTAAATATTTTATTATCAAATTAATTTATATATATTTTTAATTTTTATCTATGTTATTAATAATTATTAAATAATTATAATATTTATATAATTTTATAAATAATTTTTAAAATATTATTTCAGTATTAATTATAAGTATTTTATATTAATAAAATTTATATTTATATTTTTCTTGATTTATTTTTTAAAAATTATATAAATAGTAAATATTTTAGTTTTATTTTAGAAACATATTTTTTTTATTTAAAGACATCTTATTTTCAATAAATAAAGTTATAGTAAACACATAAAATTAATTAAAAAAAATAACATTCACACAATTTATTGAATCAATTAAAAAAAATTATTATGTTTTAAAAAATAAATAAATTTAAATTTAATGTAATATATATATATATATATATATATATATATAATGACAATAATAATAACTATTAAATTAAAAAAATAATTACAAAATATTTAATTTTATTTGTTTCATTAATTTGTTATTTTAAATTAACAAATAAACATAAAATTAACTACATTATAACATTAATGTAATATAGAAAATATTACTGATATAATAAATTAAAACATATACTTATATATTATATATAAATTGATAAATTAACTAATAATTTAATTAAAACATGTGTAAGTTACAAAAATATATATTATTATATAAATTTATTTATAATTATATTATTTATATTATTTGCTACATGGTCTGATTATATATATATATATATATATATATTATAATAATTATTTTATTTTATTTTCTTATCATTTTTAATAAATTTTTTCTTTCGAATAAAATATAATTTATATTTACGCAATTTCTATTTATTATAAATATAAAAAATTATAACATAATATATTAATATAATAATTAAATAATAATAATAATAAAATTAAAAATATGAAAAATTTATTAAAAAGATTAATATTTTATTTTTAAATTTTAATTCATTCAGTTTTAATCGTACCTTATTCTTCTTCAACTTGTTTAAATATAACAAATATAATAATTTATGATTAAATAAATTTATTTTTTAAATATGTGTAATCGTATATAAATATTTTTAGTTTTGAATATAATATAATTTTTATTTATTATAAATAAAAAATTATAACATAATATATTAATATAATAATTAAATATTAATAATAATAAAATTAAGAATATAAAAAATAAATTTGATATAATATTATTATTTTATTTTTAAATATTAGTTTCTTTAATTTTAATTGCGTTCTAATCTTATTCGAAGACTTTGTTGCTTTTCAGCTTGTTCAAACAAATATAATAATTTATCTTATATTTATATCCAAAGTAACTATAGATAATAATAAAATAAAAATAAAAAATAAGTGCGATAGCAGCTTTGACTCCAATGTATGTAGTTGTGCTAGGTTTATGATTTGTTGTGATGTAGTTAATACAATTAATGAAATTTTTTATTATAAATTTTATACCAATAAAATTGCTTGAAAAAAGATAAAAAAAATAAAATAATTTTGTATAATATTAAAAATTTATAATGATTATTGTTATTGAATAATATTAATAAAAATATAATTATTTTATTATCAAATTAGTTTACATATATTCAAATTTTAATTTGTGTTATTTATAATTATTAAATAATTGTAATAAATTTTATACAATTTTATAAATAATTTTTAAAATATTATTTGAGTATTAATTTTATATTTTTATTTTTCTCAATTTAATTTTATAAAATTATTAAATATTTTAATTATTTTTCATGATAATTCTATTTTGTTTGTATAAAGACATCTTATATTCAATAAATAAAATTACAGTAAACATATAAAAAGTAAATAAATATTGTCATTATAAAAATTGTAGATAAAAAATATTTATATTATAAAATTTATAAATGCAGAAAAATAACATATGAGCATAGAATAAATTATTAAAATTTATATTTCAATTAAAATAACTTATATTTCTAAATTTTTATCTTAATTAAAAAATATGTGATAAAACTTAATGTAAAAATTTAAACTTAATGTACTATATATATATATATATATATATATATATAATGACGACAATAATAACTATTAAATTAAAAAAATAATTATAAAACATTTGATTTTATTTGTTTCATTAATTTGTTATTTTAAATTAACAAATAAACATAAAATTAACTACACTATAACATTAATGTAATATAAAAAATATTACTGATACAATAAATTAAAATACATACTTATATATTACATATAAATTGATAAATTAACTAATAATTTAATGAAAACACCTGCAAGTTACAAAAATATATATTATTATATAATTTATCTATAATTATATTATTTAAATTATTTGCTACATAGTCTGATTATATATATATATATATATATATATATATATATTAATAAGTTTTTTATTTTATTTTGTTATTATTTTTTTTATAAATTTTTACTTTCAAATAAAATATAATTCAGATTTAAGCAATTTCTACTTATTATAAATAAAAAGAAGTATAACATAAGATATTAATATAATAATTAAATAATTAAATAATTAAATTAATAATAATAAATTTAAGAGTATAAAAAATATGTTAATATAATGTTATTATTTTATTTTTAAATTTTATTTCATTTAGTTTTAATTACGTTTTATTCCTATTCAAAGACTTAACTATTCTTTAAATTGTTTAAATATAATAAATATAATAATTTATGATTAAATAAATTTATTATTTAAATATATTTTGATAGTTCTATTTTTAAATTATATAATATATATATATATATATATATTTATTTATTTATACAGGCCGACCTGTCAGACTTAACAAGCTTTATAAACAGTTCAGGCCAGGTTTATTTACTTAAACAGATCTTAAAAAAAGTCTAAGTCTGGTTTGTTTGTTAAAAAGGTCAGGCCAGACCAGGCCATAAGCCCCTGTCAAAAGGCCTGACCTGTTTCCATCCCTACTTGTTACTTGTAGTGTTCTATTTCAATCTCTTGTAAAAAACGGTGATTGAATCCTTTTTTTATTTTTTCAGTTTTCTTTCTTAAATTGGAACGCCTTATTTCTTAAGAGGTGCCCTTTTCTTTGGTATACAAGCGTGTGCCTTTTTCTTTGACTTTTTCTTTCCGTATCTGTGGCTACAATATATATATATATATATATACGTATTATATATATTTTAGTGAAATATTATTTAATATATAATTTAATTATTACTAGGTTAATTACAAACAATTAGATACAAAATCATAAACCAATGCATTCATAGGTTTAATGATTTATTTGGTTTTAAAAATATTATTGTTTTCAAAAATTGACTTTTAGCACTTCAAAGTATGCATATTGACAAGTTTGCTAGAATATATAACATTCCTATAAAAAGTTATTGAAATAAAGAATTTTTAAAATATATTCTTTATCTTAAATAGAATATTATACATACAACTATATTGTCTCACTCATTAATGATATTTGTAATTTTTTAATTAGTATTATTTTCATTAGTACTAACATGTTCTTTAAAAGACACATCAGAAAGTCAAATTTATGATATGTGTTAAACGCTTAGCTAGTATCGTCTACATGCTAATATTATAGATATTAATCATATATAAGTAGTATCATTATATATGATTAATATTTATAATATTTTAATTCTATAATATTATAGAATTAAGAATGATTAATATCTATGTGTCGTTTATATTTGCTGATACTTGTGTCAACAAATGTAGAACAAGATTTTTGTTGGCCACTTTAGATACAATACTTGTGTATTACAATAAATATTAAGAAAAGTATTTATACAATACAATCTTTTATCCAATTTTAGATGTTTGTATGAATGAACATGAAAACTTTAACAATACAGAAGCAAATTTAGAAGAACTTTAGTCTGATTATCATTCTTAATTCTTTAAATTAAATGTGTAATTTTTATTTTGGTTTCTGAAGTATTTAAATTAAGAATATTATTGTAAAATTGTAGTTAGAATATTTAATATTTTGTTTTAAAATTTTAATATAGCATCATTGTAATTTTTTTTTTAAATTATTATTCTTTAGTTGTATCTAGAAAAGTGTGTTTAATGTACTTAGTATATTATATATATATAGAGAGATTAATCTTTGTTGTTGCTATTATTAAATTTTATAATTATTATTTAATTTGTTGAGTGATAAAATTTAGGTTACCTATCACAATTAATTTTTAGTTACATTCAACATATGAAATTCAACATATGCTAAATATTTAATAATTACATTAATAATATTTCATTTCATTTTTGGTTATAGGATTTCAATTTATATCAATTATTAAAAAATTCTAATATTTTAGAAATTATCTATTAAATTACATATACATAATAATAATCTATGACAAATATTTAATAATTACATTCAACAATAATTATTTTAATTATTCTTAACTGAATAATTATGAAAATGATTTGACCTTTCAAATATTAAATTTCTAATTTACTAACATAAATTTTAAATCAATTATTATTAAATAATTATTTCACTAAAAAAAACCTATTATATTGCATTTACATAATAAGAACCTATGATTTTGAATAATTCTTATTTTAACTACTCTAAATTTAACATTACCTACGATCATTTTCAAACATTGAAACTTTTCTTCGAATCTTCCTATTTGAAAACCAAGTTGAAATATATTACAAATTTTAAAATAAAGTCAACTAATAAATATGTTTTCTTATGTATGTAAATATGGAATTATGTTTTTTATTTTTATGATTAACTGTCTATATTTTAATTTTTTAAAATTATTCTTTAAAAATTAAGTCTAAACTAACAAATAAATAAATTTTATAAAAAGTATTATTAATATATTCTTTATAATTTTACTGTCATTTTTTTTTGCTTTTGATATATTATTTTTTAACTAGTGTTTTTACGTCCTTCTTTTGGTTCCTAATGTTTTTAATAATTTATTATTTATTAAAATAATCTACTCAATAACTATGATTGAAATTTGTTTAATATTTACATTAAATAATTATTAATTAATTTCTTCTAAATTTAATATTTATAAATTTTATTTTACCTTTCAAATATTACATTTTTAATTTAATAAAAATTAATTTTGATATCAATTTTATATAAACTTTTCTTTTCTTATAATTACCTACTAAATATTATTTATATAATTTCCTATGAAAATTATTTATTATAATTACTCTAAATGTAACAGTACCTATTATTATTAAAATTTAACCTTTCAAATTTACATTTTTAATTTAATAGCAATTAACATTTAAATCAATTTCTAGTAATTTATTATTTATGAGAAGACTTAAAAATTTACATTCAAAAACTATAAGTTTCAATTATTCTTAATTCTCATTATCGAAATTATTTTACCTTCTTTATTTTACATTTTTAATTTACTAACAGTTAAATTTAATTCATTAATTAAATCTGTAAATTACCTACTAATTAACATGTAACACAAGTACAACCTATCAGAATAATTTTACAATTACATTCAATTACTATTATTTTAATTACAATAAAATTGACAATACCTCACTATAAAAATACTCTAAAATTAACAAAAGTAAAATAATTTACATTAACTATTCTTAAAAATTATAACAAAAATCTATTTAGGACTAATCTCTTAGCAGAACACTTCACCAAATGAGGGAGAACCGGTAATGGTGGAATGATTTGCAGTTTCAACTCAACACCTACAATTATTTTTCATTAACATTTTAAAATCTGAAATCTAGGAAGAAATTTTTTTGATAAAATAATCATTTATAGTACCTTTCCCAATGTCAGAAATAGCCTTTTAATGAACTGAGAAGACAGAAGGAAGCAAAAACACTGCAAGATATGGAAGTTTCTGACATAAGGGGAGAAAAAATGAAGGGAAGAAGGAGAATAGGAAGGGGAAGGAGGGTACCTGTTATGGATCATTTGGATTGCCATGTGTTGCAATTATGTGAGTGCCGCTATTTATGTAATCCCTGATACAGCCTACATATAATCAGATTTAAATATGTGGATAAAGCTTTCTCAAACCGTTCATTTTGAATTTCAAATTTTTCATTAAATATTATTCTTTGTTTGCATATGATATTTTGTCTGATTTGACATATAAGTGAGACGATACTAATATCACATGTAATCATTTTATTTAAAAAATTACAAGTAGTCTATGAGTAAGATGATATTTGCACCATGTACAACATTCTACCTCAAACAAAAAAAATGTTTCAAAACCTCCCTATTTTAATAATTTCTTACTAAAATTGCTCAACTTTGGCGAAAAAATAAATAAATAAATAAATTTAAACAATACATATCACGCTAACATTGTTTATCTTAAAATGTCCAAACCCATCAATGAATACAACTCAATCTACCAATATCAGTTATTGAAGTTTGTCAATAATTTAAAAAATTATAATTTTAAAGTGTAAATAAATAAAAAGTCCTAATATTATGTTTATTTTACACAAGATATTACTAGGCATATTGTATGTTATGTAATCTATTTATAAGAAATAACTATCTATTTTCTTGTCTTAGATATAAGAAACACAGCCATTTTCAGATGAATTAATTGTTAAGGATGGTTAGGATCTAATGACTGTTGATACATGTTTGATAAAGTAGAAAGAATTTGGAAGAGCTACCATTATTGTTGTTGATTATTGTATGAGATTTTATATTTTCCCACCTTTTATTCCTATAAACCCTCTTAATTACTAATAAAGAAAATATTAAGTATGTGAGCATGCGTACAGGCCAACAAAAATAACAAATATCAATTTTTTACCATATATTGCAAATAAAATAAAAGGTCATCTCAATAATATATTGAACCAAAGTTTCATAATTTCCACTTGCAGTGTTGCACAGCAGTCTCTTGTTTTGCTCTTAATCCATAGTAGGAGTTACCCACTATTACTGAGAACAGCTTCATTGCCTCAAAGTACGTAGAGGCAAAATAGGCAAGTCCCAAATGCATAGAAAGGGAGCAAAACTAAAGACAAGTCTCAATTATGCAAGCATGTTAGAGTTTGCAGTTTCTTTTTCCATTACTCCAACAGAAAAATACAGATAATGTATGTATTACAGGTAGCCGTCTCTTCCTAAAGATAGAGACTCTTCATGAGTGGATCCATGCCGAAATAATCATGGAAGAACATCTGAAGGGGTATAAGAGGAGTCTGCCAAAGCTTCATTAAGAAGCTTCAATTAGCTTTTAGCCTTGAATGGACACAACATAGGATGGAAATTTACAAGAGTAAATGAATAAGAGTCGGTGTCTCAAGAAAGTAAAAGGGAATGCAGCCCTTACAAAGTATTCTGATCACAAGTATCCTCATTTCCTTTTTCCTGTACCAATTGACAGGAGCTCAAAACTCCTGAGTGCATCATCACGACCTCCTCTTGTCCCTGCAGCACGGGTAAATGGAGATTTGGACTCAAAACCTGGTTGAATCCTCTGAGTGGTAGATAGACGACCACTGCTTGAGACCAATCTACTGGAACGGCTTTCACTGGGTTCACCAGATGCGCTTGGTCTGCTGCTTGATGTGACAGGCCTTTTTGAGGCACTGCCATTGCGGGAAGAACTGCGAGCCCTATCAGAATCAGGTTGCTGCAAAGATTGAGTGTTAGATAACAAGAAAAGTTTTAGCATTCAACTAGAACCTAAAAGTTGAACCTAAAAACAAGACAAGATATATATATATATATATATATATATATATAAAAGAAAATAATGAGAGGAGGAAGACATTAACCACATCTTTGGAAGATGGCACATCATCTGAAGATCTATGCCTGGAATGATCATTATGCAGACCATGCCCAGAGCCATTCTTTCTTTGAAATGCCTCCACTGCACCTGATAATCTCTCTCGAATCTCTTGTCCAACTAAAATATAAGTATTAGAAGTTAGCTGACGACAGTCTTTATGGTGTATCATGTAAACATTCAAATTATTAAGACAAAAGGAAATAATATTTGTTCTCGAACAGACTGATATGAGAATAAAGCCCATGCATACATAATGAGAATAATAGAACTAAAGGTCAATGAATCCATAAGAAATCAAAACTATCTATTGCATAGCAGTAAATTGCTTAAGAATGAAACAGATTCCAGAGCTTGCCGAGTGTAAACCTGAAGGCCGTTGTAATCTCTCTCCTGATGGTCTTGGGTTTAAGGCTGGTTTATCACTTGGCTGTTGAAAATGCAACAAAAAGTTTACTGAACAAGAACCATTATTGAAGATGCAATTAAACCATATCTTTTGCCTCATCAAAGATGAAGATGAAAGCTATTAGAATTTTGAAGTACTCACTCGAGCCCTAGAATTGGATCCAATTAATGAGTATTTCAATGCAGTCCAATCAAATACATAGTCATACTGACAACCTGCAAAACCCACACATGTTAAGGTACTTTCAAAGCCTTGAAATAACTTTCAACTGAGGAATAATCAAGTTTATGTTTCTACAAGTTAACCTTCTCGAATGAATAGGTCCCGAAAGAGTCTCTTAAGATATGAATAATCAGGTTTATCCTCAAACCGTAATGATCGGCAATAGTGGAAGTAAGATGTGAACTCTGATGGATATGACTTGCATAAAACCTGCCCAGAAATCCACTGTAAATTCTTTGCAACAGATAAAATATGCAATAGAATTAATTGATTAATTTGTTTCTCAGTCAATTGAAATTGAGTACAATATGATGCTGAAAAAAAATATTTTTTTATAGATGCAGAAAAATACTAATGAACAAACAAAATATACTGAGGAAGCCAAACTCAGTAGAAGACCAAACATCATTCTAACACAACCAACTATTCAAATCATCAAACTATTTGCGTCAAAACCAGCTCGCAAGCAAATAATTATACCTCTATTGGAGTTAGCATTTTCTTTTCACTTATCTTCTCATATTTCTGCTTTTTAGTACCAGCTCTCAAGCCTTGCCAAGGGAGGCTAACATAATTTCCATAGCATGTTAGAAAATATAATGACAAAGACCGTTAGAGAAGTAAGAATCTCGGGACATTGCAACGAACCTTCCTCGCAAAAAGTACATTAGCACATAACCAAGTGATTCTAGATCATCTCTTCTGCTTTGTTCTGCAAGAATAACCAAAACAATACACCCATTTTGAATATGAGAATTTTAATTTAAACAATAAAAGCTTATTCGTCAGTATCTGCAATAAATTGCCTAACCAACTCCAAGGTGAGTGTTAACACTAGCATATCGTGCAGTTCCTGTGAGATTCTTGTTTTCCCTGTTGTGAGAAAAGTGGTGTAACCATTTATGAAACAAGAGCAGAGCAATACGTAGGACAATAATTATTTTACTAAGTTAAAGAAATAAAGGAATGCAATTCTAACGTAACTGCCACAAGTTAGAAAAATTCATTCTACCCACTATTGCACATCCATTGGCACATAATATAAGTAAACAAAAAGCTGATGAAAGATGAGGGGAATATAGATAAATGAAAAATTAACATGTATGAAACAATTGGAAACCTTTGTCCCTGCCATTATCCACCCCTCCCTCACCCCTGCCCTAATTGATTAACAAGAACTGGAGATGGAGAAATAACATTTGCCTCTGGTCACACATTCAGTGAATGGAAATTTGGAAAGAGTTAGCAATGAAAAGGCAGAAAGATTTTCATGCATATTCTGGTGGCAGGTGCAGACTCAACTATAGGTTCATAACTAGTAAAACTCGAGCTGCACTGAGTTTATAGCTCAGTTTGGACAAGCTTATCAGTGACTACTTATATAAGGAAAAAATAAGCAAGTAAAATGAATCAAATCCTTCTCATTAAAATTATCTTATGCTCTTCTACTTTTTTAGAAATTCTCTCATTTAACTTCTCAAAATTTGGAGTGCATAAGTTAATTTTAACTTGTTAAAGAAGTTTTATTCATCTTACCTCTTTATTTTCTTCTTCCATTAGTACTTGTCTACAAGTTTACTCAAACTGGGCCTATATTCCTAACAAAATCCAACTCTTTACCTATCCTAAAAACACAACTAACAGTATTCATTGAAGACAAGGTAAAAGACAACCCAAGGAAACAAGAAATAAAGGATAACAAGCACCATAACAGGGAAAGAGTTTAAATCAGTAAACTTCCAAAAGAGAATCAATGGAAAGACAGGGAAAATATGTGCGAGAAACAAAAGAAAACAAGCTGCAGATTTCCATACGAAATCTGAAATTTGGTACCTGTACGGTATATGCTTATGTGTTTGAAGATCACGATACTTTTTTGCAAGGCCATAATCAATGATGTATACCTGTAGTGTACAGAAAATTTTGCAGAAAACTTCAGTTATTGATGTCTTAAACAGAGCTGCTAGCAAAATAAATCTAAGTCAACTTGACATGCCTGTCTATAAACTGATTAAATTCTTAAAAATTAATACCCTTAGGGCCTGTTTAGTAGTCAAGATAATAGCACAAAATAATCACTTATCCTATCCTATTATACATTCAATGCTTGTTTAACAAAATAAGGTAACTTATCCTATTGAGTTATCCTATAAGCACTAGGAGGATAGAATAACTGTTTTGCTTTCCCTTCTTACTCACATTTCATATCCTTTTCATTTTATAAAAAAAAATCATTTAAAAAATATAATTTTAATGCTTTTATATAAATATTATATTAAACTATTTTTAATAGAAAATATTTTTTAGTTGTAGTTTTGAAAAATATAATTTTTATAAAAAGATATTTTACTCGTTTTGTCAAATATAATTTTAATTTTTTTTATAACTTATTTCTGTTTTAATTATAATTTATTACAAAAAAATTTAATTGAAAAAATTAAATTATTATTATTTAATATCAAAATTTTAATATGATTTTTACACAAAATTAATTTTTTAATTTTTAATACTTTTAATATGTTTTTTTTATTGAAAAATCAAATATTTAAATGAAAAATAATTTTTAAAAATGTATATTAATTTTGATAAAATAGTCATTTTGTCATTCAAATATAATTTATATCTTATTCTATTATTTTATTTTTTCTTAAACATTGAACAAAGACATAATGTTATTATCGACTTTATTGTCCTAAATAAACATCAAACATAGAATAAGATATGAGTCTATCTTTTTATCCTAACCTATCTTTATCCAACTCTAACATCCTATTTTTTCTTATCATATCATGTTCACTAAATAGGTCCTTAAAACCAAAGGACTAGGCTTTAGTAAAATACCACTTGAGATGCTACATAGGTGATCTCAGTATTGTGAGAATGCCAAGAAAAACAAAGCATAATATTTGGCAGCAAAATCCAACAAACTTTTCCCTTTTTGTATACATGGGACCTATCTGTGAGTGAGTTTAACAGATGCTTTTATAGGAAGAGCTTTCTAATAAGCTAGTAATAACACCACATATTTGAATAAGTTTTGTACTTTAGTTGACTCCAACTTTGAAAATTTAAACTACATAATAATATTTCAAGTATTTGTAGGCATATCAAACGAGAATAGTAAAAGTGAAGAACACGTCAAAGCTATTAATGTATTCTATTGCTAAATCATTGGTCATTGGTCAAAGCATATATGGTCAGGAAGGGGCACAGGCCAAAACTAACAACTAGCAATACAAATTTGGGTGCAATAGCTGATGGTAGTGATGCACAGAATTTCAAAATACAGTGAAGTAGTAAAAGAAGTAAAGGGAAAAAATTAAACAGTCAAATGTTTTTAAGAGAAAAATGTTATAAAAACCACAAATAAGAGTTAGGTTCAAAGTTCAAGAAATGAATATCAAACTTAGATATACATTTGCATCAGATTTGGATAGAAGAGATGTTTGTAGGTTCAGTGAACACACTGAACAAATAGTTTTGGCCTAAAAGTTGTAGGTATTGGCTGATTGGAGCAACAGTAAAATACTGTCCATTAAGAAAATGATAATGCTAACAAAAGGCTTCAACATTCCTCTCCTTTTTTTCTCTTCTAAACCCCTTTTTAATACTGATGAACACTAGGGCTCAACTTCCAAGCTTGAACCATCTAGCCAACACTCTCTTAACAAATTCGTGGTACATATCCTAAAATCTGCAAACAGTGTTTTGCTGCCATTTAAAATACTCCACATCCAGAAAATAATTCTAGAATGAAAAGGTGTAATTTTTTTGTCTATTACTGATATTGTAATTTACATGATAGCTTGATTTTAGTGTATGTCCACTACAGCACAAACTTCAAAGTTCTATTTTGCTTCCAGATAAATCCACACAATTAAACTAAATCACAAATTATTAAGATACTAATTGAATAGAATGTATAATTAGAAAACAAAAAAAAAAGGATGCAGACTCACTATTTCTGAAGATGGTATATAGAATAATAGAAACACATGACAATATAAAATATAATTTAAATAAACAATCATATGAAAAAGGACATGCAATGCAGATTTATTGGGAATGCAAATGTACTCTAAACAACAAAAATACACCATCTGTTATGGATTCTGAACAGACGAATTTGACTAAGTATAGGAAAAACCACCACGTAATTATGACTACTAAACACTACAGTTCATAAGGAATTTACAAGAACAATAGAAGAGATGAAAAGAGAGAATACACTCCTCCCAAGAGAGAATACCTATCCCTTTATAACAGTATAATCACCTACTCATGCTTACTACACATTGCAGCTCATTCTGCATTTACAACATTCAGGACACTGTATACCCATTGTCCCTCCCAATTTGATCAGATTCTTAAAACAGAACTTCAAGAATACCAATGAGAGAGATAGGTCACACATAAACTCCCAAGCATATAAATCTGAATTTAAATAAACATGGGAAAGCATAATATACCTGGTTTGCCTTGCGACCTAAACCCATTAAAAAATTGTCAGGCTTTATATCACGATGCAGAAAACCTCGGGAGTGCATATACTCAACTCTGTTTATCTAGGTAAAACAGATTGAGGTAAATTAATCAATAAAAATACTTCAGCTATATGTTAAAAGTATGATTTCCTTGAAATTATAGCTATACTTACTAGCTGATCTGCAAGCATCAAAACTGTCTTCAGAGAGAATTTTCTATTGCAAAAATTAAATAAATCTTCAAGACTTGGTCCAAGAAGATCAATAACCATGGCATTGTAGTCACCTTCAACTCCAGACCATTTTAAATGGGGTATTCCAGCTTCAAATAACAATGAACACATTTATCAGATGAGCTCATAAACTATTTTGTTTGATTCAGGAAAGTAAGCATACATATGCATGTTAGGGGTGTGCATGGATTGGATTTTTAAAAAACCAATCTAGATTCATTTAAAATCTATTTATATGGATTGGATTTTGAACCAATCCATTTTAATTTTCTTCAAAACCAGTTTAAATTTAGTTTTAAAATTTGGATTTGATTTAAAATCGGTTTTAAATCGGAAATATACTATAAATATTTTTTATATTGTTATTAAATTATTATGTTAAAAAATATTAAAATTTTATAATAACTAATATAAAATTATATTTACATATATTTTAATCTATTGATAATATAATTTTTCTTATTTTTATATTTTATTAAATTAATATATATTTATATATATTCTTCGTTTTATCATTTGTCCACCACACAACTTAATTATATGGATTAAATTTTAAACTATTGTATTTTATTTTTTTAATCAATTTAAAAGTAGTTTTAAAATTTAAATTTAGTTTAAAATTGATTTTAAATTTAGTTTTTGTTAAAACTAATTTTAAATTTAGTTTTTGTTAAAACTAATTTTAAATTTAGTTCATATTAATTTAGCTTTAAATCCAGTTTAAAATTACATTTTATATAATTTTTATTTTTGAAATAAGTATTATACTTTAATAATTTTATAAAATTTTATTTTATAGTTTTAAAAATACAAACAAGTTTACGTGTATATTTAATAAATTATATTTAAAATGATTGAATTTGTATTATTTTAAATACATATTATTTATGATTATAAAATTAAATTACAGTAATTTTTAAATTATTATTTAAAATAGTTTGATTATATTACACGTAGTTTATTATATTTAAAAGACTTTGAATAGCATAATTAAAATTTGACTTTAACTATGCAGGTTTTATAAAAAGTTTAAAGGTGATATGAATAAGGTTATTAACCCCGAACATGTGGTTTTTGTTGTTTTAAGCCCAACATGACGTGGATTAATTATGTAAATTAAGGCAAAAAAAATCAACGTGAAATTGTCAATTATTTTCAATTCCTCAAGCTAGAAGTAAAATTCTACGCCGAGAATGAGATTAGGACCCGTTGAAAAGATAACGTAGAGGAGAGACTAAAACCGGTTTTAATAGAACTAAATCCAGTTTTATAAAATAAAATCTAAATTATGTTCAGACCAAAAATAAAGTGGCCTGGGTATCTCATTTTTTTTTTAAATCTGGATTTTTTAATCCACTTTAGTTTAGGTAATAGATTGGATCTCTGTATCTGGATTTTTTGCCCACCCTTAATGCATGTCTTGGCTGCATAAATAGAAATTGAAAAAGTATAAATTAGGAAGGGATAAAAAAAATACTTACTTCCTCCTTGAAGAAGCATATACAATTTGGATTCATAGAGAAGTTGAGGATGCTTGGTCTTCACAGATTCCTGACGAGAGCCAATGAAAATACAGGGAAAAGTATTGGCACTAGTATAATGAAATGACTAGGTAACAAATTGTCACAAAACTAGAATGACTGAGTACACAGTCAACCACGTGTATTAAGTTATGCTCTCAAAACAAAAGTCTAAGGAGTCACTAACAATAACAATCATAAAGTACAAAGCCAATATTTGCATTAAGGATAGCAACCCAACTTTGACAGTTGAGACAATGTCATAGCATGCCTAATATAAGTGTATCAATCTTGAACCAAGGAACAGCATGCCAAATAACATAAAAACCCTTTCCCTGACAAAGTAAAGATCATTATTCAACATTTTTTACTTTTCATAGACCTGAAGGGCAAGCCACAGTTCTGATGGGAAGTGAATACTTACGTGGCAAATACATATTGAGAAAAGGGGGCCAACTCCAAAAAGAAATACAAAATATTTCAGAAACTAACTATCAAGAAGCTTAAACTTTTATGTTAAGAGTGAAGAAACGTGAATGGTTATACATTACACCTCTAACACACCCCTTCAAAGCAGAGATCTTTATGCTTGGAGCACGGATAATGCACAGGCACACCAACGTTGCACTGATATTTAACTTTTTATCAAGAGAATGAGAACAGAAAGGATTGAACTCTAGACCAATTGGTCAGAGAAGCTCAGTACCTTGTCATTAACCAACTATTCCAAATGCTTAAGCTATTGAGTGAAGACACCCAAATGGTGTTATATCACATCTCAAACAAAATATATTCCAATGATCACAACATCCAATGCTCGAGGACCACCCTTATAAAAATAGAACAAACTATAATATAAGCTTTATGCCTAGACCATATAAAATAGAATATAATTACATTTACCAATAGTGTCTGATCATAAGCCTACTAAGGCATACCACAGTTTAATTCCATATATATCTATATGGAATTTTCACCATTGTCAGATGTAATCTGCCACTCCGCTTTTAAGTTTTTCAACAAACAAAATCTCCCACTCTATAGTTATCATCTAAATCAACTTCTTCAGATGTATCTGCTCAGAAAGAAAGTGTACAGATCTGCATATATTTCCCTAACTAAAGGAATCAGTATGCAAAAGCATAGCAGCTAACACAGCCTAGGTGACATGGGTGATGTTAACAGAAATATAAAACAAGAAGATACCAATCACTTAACTTCCACAACAGCACAATGCATCTATCAACCATGGAAAAAACAAAAACAAAATAACAGAAATGCCAAAGCATGCAGCATAAAGAGTCCACTCACAAGCTTAACAGCCACTTCCTCTCCACTTTGCAAATTAACACCTGAAACAAACAAAAGAACCAGAAAAAGCCACAAGAGGTGAATTCCAAAATATACAAAGCACAAACAATGCTAGAGAGTCTTTGATTAAGTGCCCACCCAAATAAAGCTCGCCAAAAGATCCACTCCCAATCTTCCTCCCAAGCTTGAACTTTCCACCAATTACATGATCCATCATCACAAACCCAATCAAACATACATACACCCAAAAATCAACCCCTTGTCCCTTACCAAATTACAAACCACTCAACCAAATACAAAATTGGTTTTAAAAAATTAAAAATTAAAAATTTCTTTTTTTGGATATTTCACTTCAGATCCATCAACCCGATGCCGTATTGAATCACGAAGAAATTTAGGCTTTCTACTCCCAATACAAAAAAAAAAAAAAAAATACAAAAAGAAAAAAAAAGAAAAAGAAATTATTTATAATAATAAGAATAATCAAGAGAGAGAGAGAGAGAGAGAAACGCGAAAACGATGAAGCCGGGAAAGGATCTAATGCTTGCGATGTTCGCGCAAAGAGAAGATATGACTGTCGATTTTGGAGTGACCCTTTGGATCTGTGAGTGGAAAAGGAGAGAGTGAGTGAGTTTTCTCACCAAAATTTGAGATTCTTGGAAACAAAATGCATGAAAAAGTGGATGATTGTGAAGCTGATGTATGGTAACCAAAAAAAAGAAGTTATACAATAATTGTTATTAACTTATTATTATCAAAACAATAAATTAAAAAAAAGTACTCAATGCATAGATCAATTAGCGAGATTAGCATATTAGTAATCTTAGTAAAAATATAATATTAAAGATTTAAGATTGATTATTTATCGAATACTTTGGTTTGACATATCGCATAAAGATAATGCTTTCTCTGTCTATCAATGAATAAATGGTATGCACGAGTCCTCCTTCAATGATTCTTTGTCGGGACAGTATATCATTGCCTATTATATTTTTTTAGATTAATTGAATCTTATGTGTAATTTAACTTTATTAATTTAACACAGCAATATCTGACTTTATCTAGATAACAAAACAAAGACAAAATAACTATTTTTTGACGTGTTCTTTTCGAGGGCATTACTTTTTAGTTATGTTAAACAGATTATAAGGATTTGTTTGTCTTGTATTAGAATTTTTTTATACATATAAGTCAAGGAGTCTTCTCTACATTATTAATCTATTTTTCATGTAAAATTTATGGTTTTAATTGATTTAGATGTATACTTTATTTTTTCGAGGGCATTACTTTAGAAACATTATTTCTTCAATTGTTTTTTTTTAATTTTTAAAAGGATGTAAAATATATAATATTGTAGATTCACTTGATTTTTTTCAAGGAATTTATGTTTGGATGTAAAGTAAAATAGATAGGAAAGAAATAAAGGAGAAAGAAATATAAATATGAGAAATAAAGTGAAAAAATATTTGATATTTGGATGGATTGAAATAAGAGAAAAGAAAATAATAAAAACAAATTACTTGTTTGAACAAGTATACAAAATTGTGAAAAAATAATTGAGTTGCATTAAAAATATTCATTAATGCCATCTGACACCAAACTTGATCGAGGTTCAAACAATGCTTAAGAGCAACAAAATAATTTCATAGCAAATTATTGATTTAAAAACTTTAACTAAATGAGGAGATTGATTATTCTACAAAAATAAATAGGCTACAAGAAAAAGATTTATTTCCTTCAATATATCTTACTCTTAATAAATTGGACAAAATATTCAATCAACAAATACAAAATTCTCAAGATCTTGCTACTGATCTTATGCAAAAAAGACTGTCTCATTGTAGAGTTGAATCTTAAAACATTGTCTTCTATGTTTTCTCAACTTGATAATTCAATTAGTAAAGACTACTTATTTATTTGATTGTAAATTATACGAAAGTTAGTTTTAAAATACAAGTTTTGTGTTAAAGCAGTAGAGTTAGTGAGTTACATATAGTTAATGTCATGTTTGCATAACATTCTGAAGTAAATTATTACACTCTATTTTAACAACTTTTTATGTTTTCTAATTTGTACTTGTTCGATTTCTTAGAAATACATTGATCTCTCTTCTCACTTACTATTATGACCAACATTTTTGTATATTATTAAAAATGACAAATCATGATGAGGATTACATTAATTTGAATGATGAAGTAAATTTGAATTTGACTTTTATTAACAATAATGATGATCAGAACATTGTGAAAAATATATCATTGTAATTGATAATTGTGTGAAGAACATTGAAGTTAGTAATGATATTGAAGATAAGGTTTACAAAAAATTAAATGAGTTGACAATTAAAGATATATTTAGTCTTGAATTTGCATGAGTTTAAATTATGTGAATTTCATTAGAATTATGCAAAATATCATGGATTTGTTACTAGAAAGAATGATAATGATCATGATTCTAGAGGCAAAATTATCATGCGACAATTGGTTTGCAATAAAGAGGACTTGAAGGATAAAAAAAAAAAGAAACTCGAGAGAGTGGGTTGAGTTAGAGTATACAAGCCTACGACTCGAACCAATTGCAAAGCCAAGTTTCAAGATCATGTAAATTATAAGACTTCAACGTGAAAAGTTGTGATTTTTGAAGAATCTCACAAACATAAATTAACTCTTGTACATTATGCCCACTTGCTGCCTAGAAACTATGCATTTGGTGATGCAGATAAGATGTAAGTTGATAGTTTGCATTTATATAGAGTGAGAATAAATCATATTATGGGTTTAATGTTAAGTAAAAAAAGGTGAACACCCTAATTTTATTTTTACAAAGAAGAATTTATATAATCACTTATATAAGCAAAAACACACTACACTAAAATAGAAAATGAAGATGTTTTTCTTTTGCTAAAGAAAAATCAATATAATATTTTAACATTCAAGATAGGTTAGTAAAAACCAATCATTTATATAAATGTAACACTTCTCTCATAATCTTATAGTAGATACTCAATCACAAGTATTATTCTCATTGATTATTTTTTCTTAATTTTTCACAATTTTATGTTAAAGAATCAAAATAATAGTAATACTTATATATTTTTTTTTATTGAATAGCATAATTAAACATTAACCATAGATTTTGAACTAGTTAAAATACTTTAAAAATTCAAAATCATTTCAAAGATAGATTCACACACTTGTATATATTGATGTCAGACTTTACATTTCACTATCACTAATATATCACCACTATTTTCATATTTCTAACCACTAGCATGTATGGTTACGCATATGTCTCAATGCGCAAATTTATTTTGACAAAAATCAAACTAGGACATTTGGAAATCTTTTAAGCAAACATCAAATCCACAACCATGTGTTTAAACATCAAATTTTTAACGACGAAAACACAAATCTCAAAACAACATATACATTAGTTACTTTTAAAATCTAACTTCAAACTCAAGCTTGTATGTATAAAAGCACAATTATAAAATTTAGGTATCCTTCACTAAGGTGAATATATAAAAACTATATAAAAACTAATCACTTGAGTTTCAAAATTTAGTAAGATAGTTAGAAAAATATTCTTACAAATGTCTTCTAATATATATTAGTTAGACATATAGAATAAGACAAATCTCATTTTGATCATTTTCTTTTTTTATCTATTGTTTAAAATATATCGTTTCCCTTAAACAATATTTCAAAACATGTAGAAAGAAGGGGAAAGATATGACAAAGTCCAAATAAATTATTAAAGGTCTCAAAACATATATCTTTTAAATAATACACATTTTGTGAAAAAATCATATTCAAAGACATTCATGAAGAGAGAGAAAGTAAGAACTATCTTAATAGAATAAACAATTTATAATTAGAAGGATGTGTTACAAAGCTTGAGCAATCTAAATCATAAATCTAATTTTGCATGTAACATGCATCAATATATCCAAGGAAAAGAAAATCAATAGACATGGACTACTTAGAGAGAGAAAGTGGTGCAAATTCAATTAAGAAAGAAAAATGGAAGAGTTTGAACTAATACATCATATGCATAAATGCCTATACATAGTATGAGAACTTAAACCCATCAAACTTGCAAAGAATAACAAAGAACAACTCCAAATCCATAAAGAAAACTATAAAGGGAAAGTGTCAACCTTAAGTTTTATTGGCTTCCTTGGGGTGATGAATCTCAATTTTTCTTTACTTTTGAGGAAGAGGAATGAATATTTTGTAACATCTTAAATTTTTAAATTTTAAAAGTTGCTTATTCCACTTATACAAGCTCGACATAATGCATAAAATTTTCGTATATGGCAAATATTATAAGTATAAATAGATAAAATATTTGTTTGTGAATAAGGTTGTTTACAAAGTTTGCCAATCCGAGAGATAATAAGTAAATAGCAATAAACATAAGTGATAATTACCCAAAATAAATTTTTAAATACATTGGTACAAGGCCTACATTTATACATATTTCATAAAATAATTTACAAACTGTTTGTCAAAATAGGTGAGACTTAAAATAATATTTACATAACTAAAATAATTACATCACAAAAAGCAATTGAAGTCCCAGAGCAGCCCCAAAATACGTTCCAACAATGAGAACTTGATACTATTGATTCTCATGCCAACTCTCAATCTCTGCTTGATCTTTAGAGTCAATATCATTGTCTGATCCAAGATAATGATCAACTGAATCAGTCATAACCTTTGTGTCAGTAACTTATTCAAAAGTCCATCTAGACCATTTTTTGAGATGGTTGTGGTATGTAAATAGATATGTGAAGGCTGCTGGAGTTCTAACAATACTTCTATAGATATGGATACATAGGATATGATGTATTCTACCAATAAAAAAATCAAAAGGAATACTATAAAAGAAATCCATCTTTAACATGATAAAACTCCTAAGTATATCTTTAACAAGGACAACAAACTTAAAATAACAAGTTCTTTGATATTTATTAAATATATAATTAAGTCTATTATGTTTTGAACTATCTATTAGCTTAATTCTTTCCAGATGTTCCATCATCCTTATTCCCTGAAAATGCTAATAAAGATGAGCTTTTATTTTATCATTTAAACATAACATTAATTTAAAGACTAACATTGCAGCATAACCATAACTATGGAACAAAGATAACATCAATTTCAACAACAATGTATTATATACACATATATTCCATTATAAATCATTATATTCTCTTTTCATATACGCACTCCCAGTGCACTATGATCACAAATATAGGATGCTTCCACCAATTGTTGAGATCTTACACAACTAGGTAAATAGTCGCCGGTTAGCTCATGCATACAGATACAATATATACAATAACGGGCCCCTTAGTAAAGTTATAGTCAGGAGTCTAGTCAGGAAACGAGTGTAAGGCCATGTGACACATTCGTTCTTAGAAAGAATGTGTACACATGCGTGAATGCCGCTAACTACCCAACGTTTCCTCTAGATTTTCCATCATCTCCGGACTCTATACCCGTAGTGTATCTCTGTAAGTATTCATACTAGATCCATTTAGCTTTTTGCACTTATCTCATATTCTCTTTCATACTAAATCTATTGCTCAAGTAAAAGATCGTTCTTCGTAAAGCACTTTCGGACTAAGCTCCAAGCAAGTATACTACTCGAACATATCATTAACACTCAAAATCAATCAAACATACTTTCACAACAATCCAATGTTAATCAATCATGAAAATCATACAAGAACACATACATAAAATACTCTCATGGGTGCAAAATATTTATTATGCTTAAAATCACAAAATAGAGTCCTTCTTACCTTTAAACGAAGTTTTGAAAGAAGGTTTGTGAAGGATTTTGGTGAAAGAACCAAGATCTTCCTAGATATCACAAAAGTGAACATTTTGAGAAGGGGAAGACATAGAAAATAACC